TGTCCCAGGGCCCCTTCAAAGAGTGTATGCCTGTGCCGTTGTGTCTTCCGCCAGGTTCGTCGTCGTCTGTCGTTCGTCGTGGCTCGTGGTGTATTTCTCGTCGTTCCTCGTCGTTCGTTCTCGCTCGTCGCTCGCTTTCGCTCGTCGTCGCTCTCGTCGTCCCTCGTCGTCGTTCGTCGTCGCCGTCCTCCGTCGTTCACGTCCTCCGTCGTCGTCGTTTGTCGCCGTCGTCGTTCGTTGTCATTCTCAGTTGGTATTCGCCGACATCTTCGGGGTTGACGTTGGTCGTCGCCGTCGTCCTCGTCGTTGCTCGTCGTCGTCGTTTCTGTCGTCGTTGTTGTTCGTCGTCCGTCTTCGTCGTCGGTGGACAGGGGCAGAGGAGAGACCCCGCTCCCTCCCATGCAGGCCCACAGCATCAGCCTCTGGAGTCTTCCTCCGCGAGGCCCGGAGGGCCCCAGTGGGACCCTGGATGCCTTGGTCCAGGGCCACTGCCGACAGTGTCGGCCCGTAGCATCCTTCTGACGATCGAGCGTACATCATGTGTCTGTATTCAAATATACACACATATCTATGTGTATATAGACGTTGATGAGACATGTGTGTATACCTACGTGTATGTATGTATATACATACATGTACTTACTGCGCCCGATGTAAACGTATAGTCTATGTATGTATATGTAGGCGCAGGTTGAATCGCAGGCGCGGAACAAGTCCGTATCCACGGCCCTGCGATCCGGGCCTGGGCCGTTCGGCCTCGATCACATGGGCGGCGCGCTGCGCGCGTGACCCGCGCGAGCGCATCCATGGAGTCGCGCACCCATGGGAGCGCGTCTCTGTGCCCAGACCGCGAGGGCATGGACGGACGCACCCCAGACTCCTGCTCCTCCTGCTCCTCCTCCGTCTGCTCCTCCTCCTCCTCCCTCCTCCCTCCTCCTCCTCCTCCTCCTCCTCCTCCTCCTCCTCCTCCCCTCCTCCTCCTCCTCCTCCTCCTCCTCCTCCTCCTCCTCCTCCTCCTCCCCTCCTCCTCCTCCTCTCCTCCTCCCCCTCCTCCTCTTCTCCCCTCCTCCTCCTCCTCCTCCTCCTCCTCCTCCTCCTCCTCCTCCTCCCCCTCCTGCCGACAAGAGGCAGGGCCCGCACGACTCCCAGACCCGACGTCGCAACTCTTTCGCAGCCTGGGCCCCTGATGGCTTCCCATCCCAGGGTCTAGCTGGTCGTCCCGAGTTGCTCTCGCGGTCCTGGGGCCTCCTCCTCCTCCTCCTCCCTCCTCCCTCCTCCTTCCTCCCTCCTCCTCCTCCTCCTCCTCCTCCTCCTCCTCCTCTCTCCTCCTCCTCCTCTTCCTCCTCCTCCTCCCTCCTCCTTCCTCCTCCTTCGTTCGCAACCTGGGCCCCGCATGGCCTCCCATCCCGGGGACCAGCTTTTCGTCCCGAGTTGCTCTTGCGGTCCTGGGGGCCTGGCGAGGACCTTTTGGGAGTCGAAAGCAGCACAACAGTGCGTATCTACGCTGTCTTTCCCCGACGCGAGGGAGTCTGTGCTCTTCGGTTCGCGTCGCGTTGACGCGGCGGCGCCCCTGGCACGGGCCCTCAAGGTTGACGCCGCCAGTGGCCTGGAGTCCGCCAGCATCAAACGATCTGAGCCATCAGATAGCCGCGATCCAAGGCTGAGCGACCTGGGCGGCGTCAGAAACTAACGCCGACGTCATCGCGACGTGAACCCGCCGTACCTGCATGCCTCCGAGGGTCTCCTGAGATCTACACGGGGTCCCCAGAGCTCTCAAGAAGCCCCCAGCAGTTTCGCGAGGCATCCGAAGATGGCTGAGCATGTCAAACAAAACAAGTCCTCGATCGCCTATTCTCCATCGAGGTACCTCGATCGCCAGTCCTCGTCATCACGACGTGGCGGGATCAGCATCTTTCTGTCCCTCCGCCGCAGGCGGCAAGGGCATGCCGCCATTGATGCCGCAGCCGGCTTCCGCCGCAGGCGGCAAGGGCATGCCGCCTTCGATGCCGCAGCCGGCTCCCCCGGGGTGCCCCCCCATGCCGCAGCATCGGGCGTTGCGTAATGGGGGGGCGATCGGACGGGGCTAGGACGAGGATAAATGACTTCCAGAGCATTCCGGAACGCTCTCATCACGTTCTGGACCATTCTGAGAAGGCCGCGGCGCCCGAGACATCCTCCAGAGCCTCCGGATCTCAGAGACTCTCAATTTATCCTCACCCGAATTTATCCTCGGCTTGGCTTCATCTTGGGCGACGACTTAGGGGGTGAGGATCGTGCGCTTTCGGGGCCCTGCACGGGGCCCCCGTGGCCCAGCAGGTGCACGAAGGGTGCACGTTTCCTCGCTCCCCCCACTTGTCACGAGCAGCCCAACAGCACCCCAGTAAGCAGCGCCCAACAGCAGCAGTTCACGAAGGCGTCGGCGATGAGGCCCACAATGAGACCGCCCCCGACCGTGTCGGACGCGGACAGGGAGCTCGAGAGGCAGCTGCGGGAGGAGGAGGACACCTCCTCCTCGTCCTTGTAAGGGGCATCAGTAGCACTTAATTAAATCAGAGAAACAGGGTGTTCTGAGCCTGCCCGAAGTGCTGCCCGAAATACTGTCCGTGTGGTATACGCGGAAGATTGTGGCTGCCAGAGGGTCTAACTTCCCTAACCTTCGTTATGTATCGATATGTTTAACTGTTGCGGTCGCGGACGCGTTATGCCTGGGGAGAATTGGGACGACCCCCATTCCCCTTGGTAGCCTTGGGGCCTTCAAGCTTGAACGGGGGATACTTGGCGATGGAAAGAAGATAAGCGTCCACCAACGGCTCCGATATCTGTGCCGTGTTTCGTTCCCCCTCTTATTGGTAATGTATCCTTCTTCCCTTCCGTCCCTTCTTCACTTCGTTGTGCGTCAATTGGCGCTCCTCCGCAAAATGGTTTTCATGGGCAACCCGCTCGGTGTTCCCCGACCCCCTTAATCACGTGAAAAAGTACACAACGCGGATCTCTTGGCAGAGGAACTTTCAGAGCATGGCCCCGCGGCGCCGCCCATAGGGCCAGCTGTTGCGGCACCGCCGCCTGCTCCCGCAGCCGCCGACGGCCGAGGAGGAGGCCGCGGCCGCGGCCGAGCTCGCGGCCGCGCCCGGGGCCGAGGCCGAGGAGGAGGCCGCGGCCGACGAGGGCGAAGTCCAGGTTTTCATCATTCTGACCTCACGAGAGCACGGATGCAACTCGCATGTCGGACGAAGTGTGTGCAAGTTGGCAGAGATGAGTTCGCCCGACGAGTCAGGTTGCGGGCGGAGACAATGGTTGCAGATCTCATGTCGGGTGGTCAGAGCTTCTCACATGAAGAAGCGAAGGATATCACGTTGTTCGTCTCTACCCGCAGCGGTAATGTTGCTACAGTTGGGCTTGACAGGTACAGGTCTCAGAGGTCAGATCTTTCTACATTGTTGGTGAGCGACGCTGCCGCTCAAGCATCTGGACTGCAGCATTGGCTCTCAGAGGGCGCTGATGCCCTCCAGTTTGTGAATGTGCTCGACGATGCGTCCATGTGTGTCTCACGACGTCGAGAATCTGACATGGTGGATTCCCCAGACATCCGAAGGTATTGTTTTTTTTTTCATAGCTGCGAAATGTCTTGGTTTTTGTGGATTGTCTTGGTTTTTGTTCCAGACTGTGCGATGTCTTGGTTTCTTGTCAGATGTCTTGGTTTTTTGTCAGATGTCTTGGTTTTTTGCTAGATGTCTTGGTTTTTCTTACAAGTAGACACCCCGACGTGACCAGTCACAACAGGCCGTAGCAAATACAATGCACGTGCTAGATACACCGATAAAGGAGACACAACAAAACATAGTTTCCAACGCGCATAAATCTTCCATGTTAAACTCGAGAACTGAATGGCGAAACTGCTTCACTTGTTTTATGAAGGCCTTGACATGGAAATAAACATAGTCGAGTAGCACGTTTCCTTTTATCACGCACGCGCGCGCACTCGCGCGCGCCCTGTATTCTGGTGACCTCAACATGGAATGCTCGATCCTCAAACACAACGCTTTCCTTGTCGCGCGCGCGCTCCGACATGCGCAACGCAAGAAGGAAAAAAAAAAAAACATAATAACGTCATATGGAAAAATCAAGGGTGGCACGTGCCACCCCGAAACATGAATGGTGAAAACAAATTGTTTCATTCGTATTTCCAATGTCTCCATCAAGTTTCTTGCATATATTGCCCGCGCGCCAGAGGGCGCGCGCGCAGTAAGGAAAACATGAGGTTTCAACATGTAAAATTCCATGCTGAGGCCCTCAGAATACGAGTGAAACAATTGGTTTTCACCATTCATTTTTCGAAATTAAGATGTGCATTCTTTATTAATGGTTGTTATAGCGCGCGCGCGCCAGGGCGCGCACGAGATAAAGAAAATACGCTGCGTCATAATATAAAACTCCATGCTGCCTGGGGTGTGCCGGGTACCCTGCGCGCGATGCGAAAAGCGTTGTGTTTCACACTGTCGCGTTAGGCTACATGTTGTTTGATAATGGCGTGCAAAACAATGTGCCATATTATGTATATATATATATATATGATATCATGTTGAAATCAGAGGTGCAAGTGGAATAATAGGAGGTTCACACGCCTGCGGCTCATCCATGGCCAGCGCACGCATTTGCCGTGGATTGTCTGGGGCGAAATGACCCCAAGGGGGAGAGGGGGGGTGGGCGGGAAGAGGAAAGTGAGGGAAAGGTGAACGGGAGGAGGGGGGAATGAGGAGCGCGCGGGGCGCGGCGCGCTGCGCGCGCGGAACGCTGGCTCTGGCCCGCGCCGCGGGCAGGGCGAGCGCCCGCGCGCGCGCACATGGCGGCCGCGGCCGACTCCGAGGCCGAACGCTCCTCCTCCCCCTCCTCACCCTCCTCCTCCTCCTCCTCTTCCTCCTCCTCCTCCTCCTCCTCCTCCTCCTCACCCTCCTCCCCCTCCCGTCCCTGTTCCTCACCCTCGTCACCCTCCTCGATCCTCCTCTTCAATCTGAATTGTGGTTGTCTTCCTCCCCTCTCATTCCTTGTCCTGCTCTCCCGTCGCACTCATGATATTACCTCTCATCCTTTTCCCTCCTCCTCTTCATTCTCCTGTTGCCTCCTACCCCCTTCACTTAATCGCCCTTCTCCTCCGGTTCGAGGACCAGCGAGAGACCGAGGAGGATCGAGGAGGAGAGGAGTGGGATCGAGGCATTCATCGAAGAACATTTCCAGTTCGGGCTCAATTTCGACGAGGCGTGCGACCGCGCAGGGATACCAGTCTTCGATCCCGAGGCCTGTCCTCCTCCTTATCCTCCTCCTCTTCCTCCTCCTCCCACTCATCTTCCTTTCCTATCCTTCGCCTACTCCTCCAAATTTCTCCTCGTTCACAATCCTCCACATCGCCATCGCAAATCGTGTCAAGATCATCCATTCTCAATCCTGCTCGTCCTTCTGTCCCTCCTCCTCCTCCTCGTCCTCTTGTGTTTCTCCTCCTTCTTCATCGACTCGACGAGGGTGCTGGTTCCCCCCCTCCCTCCGAGGGCGCTGTGGACGCGTCAAAGCTGGGGTCGTGCCGAAGAAGGGCGTGCAGCACGAAGGAGCCCGAGAACATCGCCGAGGTTCCATGGGCGGAGGAGTGGGGAGGGAGAGAGAGAGAGAGAGAGAGAGGGGAGACAGAGAGAGATCTCATGAATAAAGAGAGGGCGGGATATGTACAGGTATATAATATATATATATATATATGCATCTCGAAAAAGGAGAGGGAGAGAGAGGGAGAGAGATAACGGGAAGTGCCAGAGAGAGAGAGAGAGAGAGAGCGGGATAATAAGTATAGAGAGAGATATAGGAAGAGAACGAGGGAGGGGCGGAGGGAGAGAGAAAGAGGGGGAGAGACAGAGAGAGCGAGAGAGGGAGAGGAAGATATTATAGAGAGAGAGATAGAGAGAGAGAGAGAAATAAAGAAAGGGAGAGAGAAGGAGACGAAAGAGGGAGAGAGAGAGAGAGAGAGAACGAGAGGGACACAGACAGCGAGAGATAACGAGATAGAGAGAGAGCGAGAGCGACAGAAAAGAGAGAGAGAGAGAGAGAAAGAGAAGAGGGTGGCAGATGGGGAACGGATAAGAAGAATGGATGAGGTAGGAGCGATGATGATGATGGTGATGCTGATGCTGATGGTGTTGATGCTGATGCTGGTGGCGATGCTGATGATAATGGTGATGCTGATGTTTATGATGATGATGATGTTGATGACGGTGATGGTGATGATGTCGATGCTGATGACGGCAATGATGAATGTCATGGTGATGGTGGTGCTGATGAGGATCATGACGGTAATGATGATGGTGATGATGATGTTGACGATGCTGGCGACGATGATGATGATGATGCTGATGATGATGATGATAAATGGTGGTGGTGATGATGGTGATGCTGATGCTGATAATGATGATGATGATGATGATGATGTGATGATGATGATGATGATGTGATGATGATGATGATGATGATGATGCTGATGATGATGATGACGATGCTGTTGCTGATAATGATGACGGTGGTGGTGATGAGGAGGAGGACGAGGAGGAGTAGGAGGAGGAGGCTCGAGGAGGAGGAGGAGGAGGAGTAGGAGTAGTAGTAGTAGGAGGAGGAGGAAGAGGAGGGAGAGGGAGTGGCGCAGGGGGTGAGGGAGTGAACGGGGACACGGGAGAGGAGAAGGAGGACGACTAGGAAGGAGATGAGGAAGATCGGGAAGACTGGCGATAATGAGAGACGATGGTGATCACGCGGGCTAGGAGCATGCCTCAGGAGCAGGGGGGGCAGGAGGAGGAGTGGCAGGGTGGAGGAGGGGCGCACCCAGCCATCAGGCGCTGGTCTACACGGAGGGCCAGCCAGTCATCGCGGGTGCCCTTCTTCCTCCACCTCTCAATCCCCTCGCCGACGGCAGATCTGCCTCTCGGTCGATCGGCATGCGTTCAATGCGTCCTCGGCTCCTGCTCCTGCACATGGTTTTCCCTTCCCCTCCTTCCCTCCTCCGCCTCCTTCTCCTCTGCCTCAACTTCGCATGGCCCTCCTCCGCTTCCTCCTCATTGCATTGCTAGCTCACTCCTGCTAATTCCCCTGGCGCGCCATCCTCCGCGTCGTCACCATCGCCCCATCAAGGTACGAAGATCCCCAATTTCGAGGATTATCAGCAGGAGTACACGTCGCGCCCGAACAGAGCGGCGATGCAGGTGCACTGAGGGAAACTATGCGAGTGGGATCAACCATAATTGATACGAGGATGGTGAGGATCCACGAGGAAGGGGATTGAGGAGACGGGTCGAGGATGAGGAAGAACATGACAACAACCAGGGAAGTGAGGATACCGCGCGATCCAGCCGCCGAGGAATAGGACAACACTGACCAGCCCTGCAGGAGAATTGCGGTTAAGGAGGGGGGGAGATGTGACGAGGAGGAGCGAGGAAGGTGGATCGAGGAAGGACGGTGAGAGAGGACGGGGGT